CAAGAAACATTCTCCACATTCTCAAACATTCTTTGTTTAACAGGAAAATATCAAACCGGAAGTCCAATAATGCCCCGCCCCCGGAAGTGATTACGTGTCCGGAAACACGATGGGCCTCGCCCTCTCTCCTTATTGGTGGATGACGCACGCAGAGTTCCGGCGAGCAGCCAATCGGCGCGGTGCGCGTGCAGAGGACAACTTCCGGTGAGAGTTCGCGCGCGCTCCGTCAGTCAGTCAGGCAGGCTCTGCGCTCGCTCTGCGGCCGCCATTTTGTGACGCGTTATAATAACGGCTGCAGGCTGACGCTGCTCTCCGCCGGGTACTCGGGGGGTCTGAGGAAGGGCCGGGCGCCGAGTGCACTGAGGGAGTCAAGCTGTGCCAGTCAGGTATCCGGGCGGCCATCGGAGGGCCAGGTATCAGTGAGGGGGCGTGGCCTGGCTGTAAGCTCCACCCCTGGACACGTCATGCAGGGAATACAGCGCTGGAGGGTGTGCGCTGCTGACCCCTAGCGGTGAGCTGTGTTATTACAGCTGGGTATATAGAGAGCTGTATCTCTACTGACCCCTAGCGGTGAGCTGTGTTATTACAGCTGGGTATATAGAGAGCTGTATCTCTACTGACCCCTAGCGGTGAGCTGTGTTATTACAGCTGGGTATATCGAGAGCTGTATCTCTACTGACCCCTAGCGGTGAGCTGTGTTATTACAGCTGGGTATATAGAGAGCTGTATCTCTACTGACCCCTAGCGGTGAGCTGTGTTATTACAGCTGGGTATATAGAGAGCTGTATCTCTACTGACCCCTAGCGGTGAGCTGTGTTATTACAGCTGGGAGATACATCTCTACTGACCCCTAGCGGTGAGCTGTGTTATTACAGCTAGAGAGCACTGTCTGAGCCGAGTACAGGCTGACGCCTAGCGGTGACCAGCGTTATTACAGCTAGAGAGCACTGTCTGAGCCGAGTACAGGCTGACCCCTAGCGGTGACCAGCGTTATTACAGCTAGAGAGCACTGTCTGAGCCGAGTACAGGCTGACGCCTAGCGGTGACCTGCGTTATTACAGCTAGAGAGCACTGTCTGAGCCGAGTACAGGCTGATGCCTAGCGGTGACCTGCGTTATTACAGCTAGAGAGCACTGTCTGAGCCGAGTACAGGCTGACCCCCTAGCGGTGACCTGCGTTATTACAGCTAGAGAGCACTGTCTGAGCCGAGTACAGGAGCAGGCCTAGCGGTGACCTGCGTTATTACAGCTAGAGAGCACTGTCTCCATGTCTAACAGGCAGCACCCTAGCGGTGACCTGCGTTATTACAGCTAGAGAGCACTGTCTGAGCCGAGTACAGGCACCCCCTAGCGGCTGACCTGGCGTTATTACAGCTAGAGAGCACTGTCTGATGTGAGTGACAGGCTGACCCCTAGCGGTGACCAAATGGTATTATGTATAGAGAGCCACTGTCTTGGGCCGTTAGTACAGGCTGACATACACTTTCAATATAATGCATGCATGCAAAATATCTCAGGAACACTATTTCCACAAGCAAATATCGATATTGTTCTTCTGAAAAGAAATCTTGAGAAAAAGTTAAACCTTAAATTTTTTTAATTTTTAAGTTGTAATTTTAAAATGTTTCTTTCAAGGGGCTACTAGATATAGAGCATGTAACGCAAGGTGTGCCCATAAAATATATATTCTTGTCTGCAGCTATTGTATTGTACGGATTTCAGAGCCAGTGAGGTGTTGTTGTGGATGTAATATACTTGAATTAGTCTAACTCTAACATATTTGATACTGGTCTGTGCAAATGGTTGCTACAAAAAAATGAAAGGAAAAATAAATAGTTTAAAGTGGTAGAGGATGAAGTGGGTGGTTGTGGACTGAATACTCTTGTTGTAAACTGAGATGGTCAGAAGTTGAAAACCAGGAAGGCATGAGAACAGTGTTTAAGAAAACTGGAGATAAGCCAACAATATAATTTCATATCACTGGAATAGCCAGCCCTAGGTGAGTGGAGCTTGGATGTTATATTTCTATGTAAATGCAACTATCAGAGACTAAATTGAAGAAGGGATACTTGGCAGAAGGGAAGATTGCGCTTGGGCTTGAACAAATTCTTTATTGATGACAAAATTGTGTAAATGGGGTACTAGTATTCTCACAATGGTGACTTAGTGGGCAGATTAGGTTGTACTGATGGAGAGGGAAAACAACAAAGGTACCAAGGACAGAGAGGGAAAAATGGCTTCCAAGTACATTAAGTTGTGTGTGGTTCTTGTGACCAATGGACAAACAGTATGAAATCAGCATCCTTTCGTATGTCGACCACGAGGCGGCAGCCATTTTAAACCACGCGAAAGACCAACGGTGTTCGGCATTGATTCTATGGAACTAAAAACGGACACTTTTTCTGCCGAACACCGCTGAAACTACAGACCGCCCTTCTCAGTCGACAAAAGCATGCGAACACCGGCCGTTCGGGAGTTTTGGATTACACGAAGAGACTTAACCCAGATAGCCTTCCCATGGAGTCAATCGCATACCGAAAGACTGTAAGGACTTTGACTCCATGGCGATTGAACTATGCGTATGGGATCTGAGCGCTATTCGCTAATAATATGCCCTCAGATCCAGGCTATCTGGGGATACGTTACACGAATGTAATATGTTCAGTAGTTGTGCAATTATTTATTTTCAAGTGTTTCTGGTGTTTTACTTAAAATGGCGATTTGTCTTTGTCCTGGAGTTAATTGAATGACTTCTCAATTATCTCCAGGGCAGAGGGGAGGAAACCATGAAGCATGGTGGGAATCTTTTGTGCCTGTGTGTCTGAAATAGCCATATGTCTGTCTGTCAATACAGTCTCCCATTTGGTCCCCTAGGGGAGTGTCCACAAGTGGGAGACCTGCATAAATACGGGCGGGTAGCCCACAGTAAACCCAGTTCTTGTTTTACCCTCAATGCGGAACTTGGTCTCGTTATTGGGGGGGGGGTTTATTACCGACTGATAGAGACTGATTGCTGTAGCCGAAAGCCGCTTGGAGGATATACTTGTTCGGTGGTTAGCAACGATTCATGGATTATTGTTCGGGAGTTTGGAGCACTCTTACGGATCCCATTCGGGAGATTACCGCTTTCCCCTGGTTGTGGTTTGTACGCTGAATTCTATACGAACGGAGATGGCAAGATTGTAAAGGGGAAAGCTCAACTAAACGGCGGTTTCACTCCTAGGTCTCCGGGGTGTCTTAACAATGTGGTCTTACCAGTGATTTATAAAGAGGCAAAATGAAATTCTCATCCCGAGAATGAATGTCCTTTTTCATGCATGACAATACCTTACTGGCCTTGGCCACTGCTGATTGACATTGCACATTGTTGCATAGTTTGTTGTCTATAACAATTCCCAAGTCCTTTTCGTGTGTTGTTATCCCTAATTCGCTTCCATTAAGGGTATACGTTGCTTGTGTATTCTTTATGCCAAAGTGCATAACTTTGCATTTTTCAACATTAAATTTCATCTGCCATTTGAGTGCCCAGTCCCCCAGTCTATCTAAATCCCTCTGCAGCAAAGTAATATCTTGCTCACATTGTATTATTTTACAGAGTTTTGTGTCATCTGTAAACACTGAAACATGACTTTCAATACTGACTTCAAGATCATTTATAAAAATGTTAAATAGAAGGGGTCCCAGAACAGACCCCTGAGGGACACCACTTGCCGCCTCTGTCCAGCTTGAAAATTTACCATTAAGACAACATTTTCTTCTAGACCAATTTCCTTGAGTTTGAACACTAATCTATTGTGTGGAACTGTATCAAATGCCTTGGCAAAATCCAAATAGATCACATCCCCTGCAACACCCTGATCTATACTTCTACTTACTTCTTCGTAGAACGCAATCAAGTTAGTTTGACATGACCTGTGCTTCATAAAACTGTGCTGATTTTTGCTGATAACCATGTTCTTCTCAAGGAATTCTTGAATATTATCCCTTAATAACCTTTCAAATATTTTACCAGCCACAGAAGTTAAGCTCACAGGTCTATAATTTCCAGGCAAGGATTTTGAACCCTTTTTGAATATAGGAACCACATCTGCCTTCCTCCAATCCTCCGGAACACTTCCTGAAAGAAAAGAATCTTGAAAGATTAAAAACAGAGGTTCACTTATTTCTACACTTAGTTCCTTAAGTACTCGTTGATGGATACCGTCAGGCCCTGGAGCTTTGTTTATATTAACTTTCTTTAGTTGCTGCGGCACCTTGTCTTGAGTTAACCAATTACAATTCTTCTGCAAGTTTTTAGTAGCAATCATTTGCACATATATTGCCATGGGTTCTTCCTTAATATATACGGAGGAGAAATAGTTATTTAAAATTCCTGCCTTTTCCTGGTCTTCATTAACCAACACCCCCGTTTCAGTTTTTAGTGTACCTACACTTTCATTTTTTTTTATTTTTTTTAGAATTTATGTACTTAAAAATGCTTTGGGGTTGGTTTTGCTCTCTTTGGCTATCATTTTTTCATTTTTAAGTTTAGCAAATCTAATTGCCTTTTTCACGCATTATTTGCTTCCTTTTATCTTTTATAAGATGCATCCGATTTGTCCGATTTAAATGCCCTTTTCTTATTTTTAATCTCTTATTTTACTTCTCTATTAAGCCACATTGATTTTAATTTGTTTCTTTTATATTTATTTCCCAATGGTACATACTGAGAAATGTACCTTTCTAATATTTGTTGGAAGATGATCCATTTATCCTCAGTGTTTTTATCACTAAGGAGTTTATGCCACTGAATAAATTGTAAAGCTGCCCTTAACTTATTGAAATTGGCCTTTTTAAAATTATATGTTTTAGTATACCCCATGTGCTTTTGTTTTTTTTTGAGTTTATTTCAAAGGACACTATATTGTGATCACTGTTTCCCAAGTGCTCACCTACTTGAATGTTGGTCAAAAGATCAACGTTGTTTGTTAAAACCAGGTCCAGACAAGCGTCCATTTTAGTTGGTGCTTGTACAACTAGAATTTATGTCGGGGTAATTAAAATCTCCAATAATTAAAGTGTTACCCAGATTTGCAGCTTTCTCAATTTGCTCAAACAGCTGTTGTTCCTCGTCAATATTACCTTAGGTGGTTAATGTGCGAAGATAGCAAATGCCATATACCGTAGCACTACCATATCTATATGCCTACAATATATGTGTCATTCAATGTCTACGCCTGTATTGCTGGTGTGGTCTTACAGGTTGCTCTTGTATTTACAAGCACAACAAAAATAAAGAATTCTAAATAAATAAAGTATGAAAAGAGGACCATGTAGCAGCTTTACACACATCTTCCGGAGATGCCAAAGACTTTTTAGCGAGTGATGTTGCCATGGCCTTGGTGGAATGAGCCTAGACTGGGAAAAGAAGAGAGAGGTTACTGACCTCTAAAGCCAATTTGATAGCCTTGGTAAGCCATTTGGTGATCATAGACCTAAAGGCTCTTTGCCTTTAAAGACACCCTGCAAGTTGGCTAATACATGATCCAATTTTCTGTATGGAGCTGATAGGTGGAGATACATTTCTAAAGCCCTTTGGACATCCAGGTAATGCCATTTCTTCTTCGTGTCAGATAATTGAGCTTGGCAGAAATATGGCAGGATCATAGGTTGGTTCATGTTTTGTCTGGAGAGTACTTTAGATTGAAAAGAAGGTTTTGGATGCAAGACCACTGATGGAAAACTGTAAATTCAGCAGATGATGACAGTGCTTGTGAATCTCCAATCTGTCTTGCCGAGATAATTGCTACCAAAAACGCAGTTTTAAGAGAAACTCTTTAATGGGATTTAATTTAATGGTTCAAAGTGGGAACTGCACATTTCCTTCAGAACCACTGATAAATCCCATGTAGGAAACGAAAAGAGCAGAGGAGGATGCTTCAGAAAAATTGCTTTAAAAATGTACGAACGAGCCAGTTGGATGCCAAATCTTGAATCAGGAAATGGCTAAGGGTTGAAACCTGGACATTGAGTGTAGAAACAGTCTTGCAAAAAAAGAAAGGATACATGGAATTGATTCATTAAAAGACAAACACCATTGTAGGAATTTATGCTAAATTCTTGTAAATCTTCTTAGTAGATCTGCGTGTGGAGGACAGTAGAATGACACTAATGCTGTCAGAAACACCCTGCTCTTTAAGGATGTTCGACCGGAACATCCTTAAGGTTTCTGCTGGAAGATCTTTGTTTTCTGTCTGTTCGATCTCAGAAAACCCGCTCTCATTTCCCTGAAATTTGAGGTCTGGGCAACTTCTTCTGTAGACCATTGTCCCAGATGAAATTGGGATCCCAGA